ACCAAGGAAAACGTTTCAAATAGGTTGTGTCCAGTGAGTTAGAGAGAAAATTTAAAGAGGAATCAAACAAAAGCATACCCAGACAGAATACAACAAATGGAAGAACACACACCAAAATTTCTTAACACATGAGGACTGGAAATTATCATTATTGGATCCAGGAGGATCATAGTAAATTACATTAAGTATTTAGATAAGTAGACTTAATCACCCAAACGGAACTTCCTAAAATGCAAGATTATTCTAACTTTGCCTGCAGTACTTGCAATATCTATGGTCAGAGAGAATGACTGGGAGACATGGAGATTGACAAGTAATAGGGGAGCCCGTGCTGAATTTCCAAAAACTGACCAGACGTATCAGAGTTTTGTGAGCAAAAACTGTTTGTCATTACTATGGTTGGGATTGGTGGCAGTGCACAGATGTGAAAAACCCCTGCAAGATCCCAAATCTTAGTTTCTTAAACCAAGTTAAACTTTAAAAGTTGAGGTAATGAAACTCCAGCTTCTGTTTCAAGTGACCTTAACAGGCAAAAACATAGATTCATTCCTCCGACATCATTACCTTCATAGACCTAATGCAAATATATCTCTATTAGTTTCACATAATTCAATTTCATGTCTTCATGAATCTCTCAAGAAATTATTGAATGGAAAATTTAAGATTTACTATCTCTTTGAACATGCCATTTCATTAGAAACCTAGTTAACCCTTATTTCCTCCTTTTCTGACTCAATAATACAACTTCATTTCTTATGAAGAAGGGATTGTAATAAGTTGCTTCAATTCATCATTTTCTGCATGCTGAAATTCTTAAATTTGTTGATCTACATCAGCATTAGTAATGCATGGAAAAGCTGAAGCACTAGTAATATTGGTACCATATTTTTTCAAAGCAAAACCTGCATTTTTAGCTCTCTAAACCTCTGGTTGGAAAGGAATGCATTCTGGAGTTGAAAAATTCAGTTATTAGCTTCAAATTTTTTTAACTCTGTCCTAAAAATGTTAGGAAATCCAATTGTATTACCTCAAATTAAGTGCATTACTGCATTATATTTTGCAAGCTTTAGCAAACAACAAAAAAAAATCCCCCAGAAGAATCTTAATTCTTATCTATGGAAAACATTAAACTGCTAAGTGCTAACAACTGGAATTAGTCCTTAAATCTCTAATGAGAATAATAAAACATGAGTGCAGTTTGTGCTGTAACTTGATAAGGCCTGAATTTACTTGCTGTTAGTAAAAGTTCCTGATCCAGCAGTATGGCGTTTTACTCCCTGAGGTACAGGAAACAATATCTGTCCTTTAGGAGCATCCTCTGTGGTAAGCACTTCTTATCAGGACTATCAAAGGACTAAGATAGCAGTGTAATATCTAGTAACAGCAGCTTTATGAGCAGATCCATTACTGATTTAAATCAATCTAAAGCAGGTAGTTCTGATTAACCCATTCAGAACAAAGCTGACCTCCTAGCAAGATTATTTCTTCTGAAATTAAAGCAAACTCTATCTATGCTACCAGATGTCACGTGAACTGAATTTAAGAAGTAGCAGCAGCAGAAGTGTGGACCAAGCATCACAATGTTGTAAGCCACTTTAAAAAAAACAACCTTGTATTGAAACCTTGTCACTCTGCAAAGATATAATGCTTTGCAATAGTAAAATTTAATATTCTTGAAAATTATGGTTTGAACTGAACTAGGATACTGTATGCAAAGGAATTGATTTAACTGAACCTGTCTAAAACCACCTTGCTCTCAATTTGTCTGAAAATCTATTTTTTTATAAAAGGCAACCTTCAATCACTGTTCACCACAATTTTCTGTCAAGACACTTATTGGAAGGCAGTCTTGAGAGTCTATTTGCCTGTAAATATATTTTTATTCTTTGCAATGGAAAATGTAATTGTAACTTTTCTTGAATGTCTAAAAGTAAAATGAAAATGTTGTGATCAGTCAGCAGTTTAGCAAGTCACAGCTATTTTAATTTCCAGTGTTTTCACTTAATGTTAATGGAGATTCCCTCCAAGTTTTAATTAAAAATCCTTAAAACCACTGCTTATATTTTTTCATATGTATTAAGAAATAAGGGGGTTAAAACCCAGTTTTTAAACATTCCTAATGTAAAATGGTTAAACTTATGATTTCCTAATATGGCCAGTAATTAGATCGCAGAGGTCTCTAAGCATTACCTTTTGAGTGGTGTTTAGGAAGACAAAAAAGCCACTGCACTCAGCTTGGCACAGCTGGGAAGTGCCAGTGCGCTCCCGGCCAGGGGAAGCCCTGCGCACGGACAGGCGCTCCCAGAGACTGCGAGAGCACATGAACAGCACACGCTGCCGACACCCTCTCACTGCCTGCTGACTTCAGGCAGCTGGACACACTAAATGGTCACCTTCACCATCATCCCGGGCCTGATCCTGCTCTTTGCAAAGTCAGTCTGAGCTAAATTATTGATTGCAACAGTCAGTCCCAAGTGTCTTAGGAGTTAATGGGATCGAAGTGACATATAATCAGCATGCGTAATTTGAGGAGCTCGAACTTCTTGGATTCCCTTGTGACTTATTTTGGAGACATTGCCTTTATTTCTGAGCTATCCCTCTGAATAGTAATAAGAAAGGAAAAGAAATTTGGATTCTAGCAAAGAAGATGCTTATTTCTCATCCCAATTTTCGTGGAGCTTGTTTAGAGTTTGACCTTGTAATCCTCCTGTAACCCTTCCCCAGTGACACACTTTCCTACCCTTAGCCTAAATCCACTCCCTACCAGAAATAATAATACAAAAAAGTTGGATAGCGTAAACACACACAAAAAGTCAGCATTTCTGTTCCTGTCTGCATTACAAAGGTTCACAGACCAAATGAAAACCCTTACACATATGAACTATTTTAATTAGTGTAATTTAGTATTCTCCACAAATGCAAAAGGTTACACTCTTACTGATTCTTTGATTTAAACAATTCCTATTAAACTGTGTAATTTTAGTTCAGTATGTGCTTTTGCAGTACTTTATGCAAACGTGAACTCTTTGAGATAACAAAATCAGCATGAATTTTGTATTAGAAATATATTGCAACATTAATAAAACAAAACAGCATATTTTCTTATGATAATATAGTTTAAAGAAATAGGGTTTTTTAAGATTCATACCATACAGGTGACAAACTATTTATTTACTCCTGCTTTTACTGGTAGCTGTATATTTCTTATTAGATAATAAATTTGATCTTCCAAACTATTTTGCTTGAGCATCAGAAAGTATCTAAGTGCTAAAGGAAGAGATGACATCTAAAATATGCTGCTGAAGTTCTCTCTCTTGATAACACTGGAAGCTGTTCTGTAACTTGATCAATTTCCTGCATCTACAGAATATTGCTTTTTAAGGCTGGTATGGGAGAGAAATATTAAAACAGGCTGAGATATTTTCAGTTCTTCAGAAAGATTTTAATTTCAGAAATTAAAAACTCTACTTTCAGTGCCTTTCCAAAAAAATCTTTAAAAAATCTGAGAAAATCCTCTTTTTTCCTCTATCAGATTTAGGAATAAAATTTATGCCCTTTATATCATATATTGCTTTAACATTTTCAAAATGAAAGCTAAAACCAGGCCCAGAGCAATAGAGTATAGTTTTAGGAGTGTCAAATTACCTTCAATAGCCATTTTTTAAATAAAATATAAAATCTTGAAGCAGACAGCAAAGAATTGTATTAAGGGCAAAATCTTTCATTTAGACATGAATTGAAAGAAACCACATCACTGAATCTTAAAAAAACACAGGAATATTGTTTCCTAATTGCCACAGAATGCATATGTCAGTAGTATTAATAACTATCAGGTGTCAGTTTTTAACTAAAGTTCCTCCACATTTATTTCTTTAAAGACACTGCCGTTTGGTACCTCTGCAGACCTACAGGAGCAGAAGAACAGTAGTATTTGCGCAGCCTTTTTGTTCCAGGCTGTAAATGTAATCCTGCATTTCAAGGTTACCAAGAAGGAGGGAAGGCATTATCATTGTTTTTTCAGTCTGACTGTCCCATTTAGGTGATGTACATACTCTGAGCAAATTAATTGCTTTGAATTTTACTTATATTTATTAACTGAGATTAGGAAAGGCAGTAAAACACTATATCAAAGCATTATGGAGAAAACAACCAGAATCAATCTTTTTCATTTGTCACAGACACCACTTATTTAAATCTAAAATATGTTCTTTGCTGTCCTTGATCTATTCTGGTAAATAATAGCTTGTACCAAATACAGGGCTACAGAATCCTCTCTTCTTTTTGAACATAAAAAACCAGATAAATAATTTTAAATATATATATATATATATGAAACTTCTAATAATTGGGCAACAACAACAGAAAAGCCCCTCCAAAACCTTGTCATCTTTTAGATCTCCACTTCTTAGCTAGATTTTATTTCCATTTTCAAAAATCCTGAGTGTATTCTTTTTGCAGGGCTACTTCCAGAATTTAATCACTGTGCCCCATCATTCCGACATTTATTTGGGGGCAAATCCTGCAATAACAAGAAATTCAGAAGGGCCTTGTAAAGAGAAAAAGACGAAATTGCTAAGTAATACAGTGCATTAGAACTCCCTAAATAAGGCAGCTGCACATCGCATTTCTCACTCAGACAATTGTGCAAGAAAAGCATTACCTGACTGTAATCATTTAGACTCAGAAATTAATTTAAAATAGACATGCTTGCATGTATCCAACACTGATTCGGTCTCCCCAGTTTTTGAAAGTTTGGTATCTGAAACACTGCAACACCATCGCCTGCTCATTATTATTTTTTTTAAACAAAGTAATACTGAATCTCCCACATAGGAAGGAAGATAAGTAACAATATAGTGCAGGCTCCAAGTTAAATCTGGTTCAGACAGCGTAATAATGATGTCATTAAGGCTCCGAGCTGAATGGGAATCAGACAGTGCCATAGTACAGCTGCAGACATAAATCTGAAAGAACTTTTTTGGCTACATTCTCAGACTTACCTTGAAAGATATTTAGGAGCTCCAGCAATGTGAGTTGAAAGAAATGTTCTCAAAGGGAGGTTTGCAGACTGAAGAACCTGTGTAGGCCTTATAGGCACTTTCTTCTGTGGCACAGGAAGGAACATTTTGTTAAATGAATAAACTAAGAGAAATAATTTCAGAAGAAGTGCAAACCAGAAAACAAATAAACCTTAATACTACCACAAATAAATGAGACTAAGGCAATTGTGGGACTGCTCAAAGCCTTTTTGCCTTGCTGAATGAAAGCAATCCCTAAGACTGAATGGGTAATGAGATCCTGGCTCCTGAGATTTTAGCTTTCTTAATCATGTTCATAATTAATTCAAGAACATTGATAATTTCATTACATTCTTTTTGTCTTATCAATAAATGATGTGCCTGCACTTTTGGTCCTGTGTACAGGGAGAAAGGAGATGCTTTGGGTAATACTGCACCAGGAATTGTATATGTATATATGTATATATACATGCATATATATATATATATATATATAATCTATATGACCTAAAATAGGGATGTGGTAGCTATTACCCATAACCAGGCCTCTATTATCAGAATACTATGGCAAGCAGTTACAAATAATTAATAAGCTTTTTATGCAGGAATGAAAAACCCTTTAAAGAAAAATATGCTGCAAATAGAATTCCTGCCTGAAAGATACGTACCTAGAAAAAAATACATTTTCAGAGATATTTAGGAATGGATTTCACATGAACTCAAACTATAAATATATTTTTAAGTCTCTCTAGATATCTTGCTTTAAAAAAAAATACCTTTTGAAGAAAAACCCAACTTCAGCTCCTTTTCCTATTTGGAGAGATGTGCCCTTCTGTTTGTCCTTCCAAACACATTTCCAGTATCAGCTTACATCTGACACCAAGCTATACTCGCCCTCTCAGTTGAAACTGTCTGGTGCTTTTTACATTGTGGCTTTTTTTTATTTTTTTGGGGTTTTTTTTAATGAAGACTGAAAGCTTTATCTAACAGTCATTCAAATGGGAAGCATCCCTTTAGGATTTACTGCTTGTTCTGTGTAATCTTCAACAAAGCAACAAATCAGTTTTCATCCATTTTTTTGTTGTTGTTGATTTAGAAGTGTCATCGATTTTAGACAGCAGAGTATGTAGAAGTGAAAGTTTCTGACTGCAAATAAATACTGCTGTGTTATTTGCTCTCACTTGCACTTTATTTCATTCTGACATCGGTGAAATCATCCATGGAGAATGTCCCTGTGCAAGAGAAAGCACCATAAATGAATCACAAACAGTTTAATAAGTGACTTCAAAAAAGCTACACTGACGAAACATCTACCACCCTGTAGGAATTTCTGTGTTCCAGCTGACTCTCTTTTAAAAAATAATAAAATCAAGCATTTCCTCCTTAAAAACAGGTTAAATATCAACTTAAGGACAGATAAATTCCTCACAAAGCGTTCTCCTTTTCTACTCTGTTGACACCAGCTTCATGAGGATGTTACTCCGCTGAAGGTCTCGGTGGCTCTGAGCCAGAACAGCATGTGACAGGTCACCCGGGTGCTACGTGTTCCCCCTTAAAGAAAGAACATTGATGCATGTACAGATAAAGGGTTTTCATTCTGAGGATACTTATCAGGGCTAGGGAAGGAAGAAAGCCTGAATTTCATGTGTGTGTGTAATGTTTTGGATCATAAGTAGCTACACACATATCACAGCTACTGTCAAAAAAAGAGACAGAGGAGCAATCCCTGGTTCAAGGTCAAATGACACCAACAGACTGCAGCCCATGCTGCTCACAGATAGTGCCTTGGAACAGAGGTGGCTGGAAAGACCTCACCCAAGGAGCCCAAAATACAGCTGTGGAATGCATCAGCAATTCAGCAGGGTGGACAATGGGGGCACCGCACTTAGCCTGGTCTCTCAACCTTCATTTATCTTTTATGACTCTGATATCCAATGAGGAGCCAAAAGGTCTGGTATTAAAGACCTAGAGCAGCCCTAGAACCTAAGCAGCTCAGGAGACCTGTGAAGTAGTTTTGGTTCTTTGAAGGGTTCCTCAAGGGGTGGGGAAGACAGCATAAAGGATATAACGACAGTGTAAAACTCCCTCTTCAAGTTTCAAGCAATGCTATATGAGGATAACAAGAGATAAAATCAGGTAAACACAGATTATTTAGGATGCTTGATGTCTTTACCTGGAAAGACAGGCCCTGAACCATCCTTTGTCATGTCCTTCCCAGACTACCAGCACTGTTCCTTGAGGCTGTAGAAACAAATCCAAATTGATTTAGGCAATCCAGGTACTCTTATTCCCAATGAAGAAAAGAATGCAAGTCTTGAAGAGGGCTTTACCCCAATGCTCCTGAGCCTTTTTGGCCATAACCACAAACCAAATTATCTGAATTGCCTCTTGGGGGGGGGGCTCATCTCCCCACTCATAATGTAAAAACCCTCTGACTACACTCTCAGTTGAGGCATTTTCAGGGAATACCTGGGGATACCATTCCTGGATATGATAAATTAAGAATGCTGAATGCATTCAATTAAGTAGAAAACACCACCCCCTTCATCCTTGCTGTTTTCAGAGGGCAGAATTCAAGATAAGTAGGTTCAGATCCTGGATTTTGATTAGGTTGTTCTTGCTGTAGGTCAGTGTAATGCCTTCAGGTGTTATGAATCCAAGCCTTATTGCTGAGATCAGAAATGGTAATCCCTTTCAAATTTAGGGCAACATTTCTTTGAAGCAAGTCTGAACTATAAATGATGGGGAAATCTCTCTGAACTTGATTATAACTTTTACTGCAAGAGCTGTTGACAAGATGCTAAGCATCTTTGGCTGGTACATGGGATTTTTCAAGAGTAGTCTCAAACCTGAAGCTGTTTATGCATTTGAAATACCTGATCCTTTTTTATCTGTAATTAACATATAGTCTTAGGTCACATATGCTTTATTCCTAATCTTTAAAATGTAAGTATTATTCCTTGAATTTGAAACTGTCTCATCAGAGCAGAAACCTTAAAATGTTCTAAAGATTTGGAGAACCATCCTGAAATTCTTGAGAATAATCCACACCACAGTTACTCGTAGTTATCAATATTTTTTTTCCACAGATAAGCCATCTACAAATTCACAACAACAACAATTATAGTCAAGTTTGTAGAATTTCACTTTAAATCCACTCATGAGCATGAACAAAATTATGTGGCATTTGTAGAATGACCTGATTACATGAGAAAGAAGCCCAAAAAGAGCAACACGGAGTCACTTAGCAAGGCAAGCTGTTGCCTGTGACAGTGATGTATGAGACATAGGTGATATATGTACTGGGTGGCTTTATCAGTAAATCATTGGGTTATTTACTTCCCTGAGGAACTGGACCTGTCCCTGGAAGAGACTGCACTGTGAGATGCACCAGTGGGGGATTAATATTGGCAAAACAGTCAATTTTGATTTGTTCACACAAAAGAATCATAAAATATAATTTAATAAATAATACATCACAGATGTACTGTCTCTTCTAAGTACTTTAAAAGGTAGAATTTGGATCTCCCTCTTATTTCCTTCATTACCATGAAAGGAAAAATCACCACAAAATTTGTTTTAAATAGAGTATTTAGCCAGCACCTCCCTGGCAGGGTGTAAACAGTTGCCCATTGAATAAGAAAAAGACAGAGTATGGAGCTCATAAACTGAAAAGATATATCACTTCCTTTCCATATTAAAGGTAGACAACAATCTCTACCACCTTCAAGGAACAGCTGTGAGGCCACTGCAATTTCAAGCTTCTATGGGCATCTGCTACAGGGCCATCCACAGGGACTCTCAAGCACAGCAATGGACAGGGTGCTCCCCAGAACCTTCAGCTGGCTGAGCAGATATAAAACCAGCCCTTTGTGCCTTACCTGTGCACAAGCATCGCCTCTGCTTGGCACCTGGGCTTCAGCACCTCGCCCTCAGATTCACGGCATGAACGTGCTGCACACACGGCTTGAGAGAGAGCTCAAAAGGCTGTCCTGGTGTTCAGCCTGACACTGATGTAGAAGTCCCTTAGTTCCTTGTCTTGTAGCAGTCTTTTTGTGTCCGACTTTAACAAATCTGAGTTAAAATCATGCAGACTGAAACACTACAGAATATGTACATGGTCAAAACTGCAAAATAAACAAAAAATAATATATCATTGACACAAACACTATACATATGGCTACTTACTACATCAAAAATTAGGAAAAAAGCTTAAATGCTGTAAACAGTTGCTGTGCAGAAAACAGCTCAACATTATAGAGTGTTATAGAAGTGCTTCTTCTAACATTAACACCATTTTCTGAAAAGCTTTACACAAATAAAGAAAAATCAGGCACTAATTTTCAGAGTAATAAAAGCAGTGACAACTTTATCACGGTTAATGTGCAGAAAATGACGGCTGTAATGCATAGCATACTATGGCAGAAGTGCAAACAAAATACTTTTTCCTCTTTAATTCCCCCACAGCATGGTCATTCATTGGAATTACACCACATTTCCAGCACCACAGAGTGAATCTGCCTTATTCTGATTTGGGGCTGCTATACATATATAACTTTTTTTCTTTCAGTTATTATGTGAGAACTTTGAAGAATCTCAGCCTAAAACCTACACATCCCTAATGCCATATGCTAATATTTCCAAATCAGAAATGTGAAGTACAGTGGATATGGTACTTACCTTGGTCATGAAAATATGACTGGACATTAACACATGGTCCAACTCAAAGAGTAGTGACCAGAAGTGCAATAGCTAATAGCTTGTGTCTGGTTACAAGTAGCATTCCTTAAAGCTTCATTTTAGGCCAAATTACATCTTGATTTTCATCCCAGACAAAGAAGTGGAAAACATCCTCAGGAAGTTCATGAATGACCTCAAGACTGGAAACACAGTCATTATGCTGGAGGGAAGCCATTCAGCAGGATCTCAAGAGGCTAGAGAGAGAAGCTTAAGGAAATATCAAAAAAATCAGTAAGAAAAGCTCCTAAGTCCCATTCCTGTGTCAGAATAACTCCATGGATCTGTACAGAGTGCTAGCAAACACTGCTAGAGAGCAGATTTGCAAAAGATAACCTAGATTCTGGAAGAAAATACATTGAGCATTTGTCAAGCACCATGCTCTTGCAGAGACATGGACCAAATGCAGACTGAGCTGTATTGACAAAATTATAGCCAGCAAGTCAAAAGACATGATTATTGCTCACCATTAGACACCTCTCTCTGCCTGCACCTGGAATAAACTTCAGTTTTGGACTTCCCAGTAAAAGATATTGACATGTTGGACCAAGTCCAGCCAGGGACCAGCAAGATAGCTGAAGGCTTGGAGGTGACAATACAAAGAGGAAGCTGAGACTTTACTCGGGCTGAGTGAACACAGCCCCAAGCAGCCTGATGTAGCTAAACCGCATTGAGTGGGGACTAGAACACCCCCTCCAGCTTGGGTTACTCCACTATCCTCTGAACAGAAAGGAGTTGAAAAATTTAATTATATATTCTAGACATAAAACCATAGTACACTCAGAAAATGCTCCAACCATGACCTGTACAGTCCCCAGTTCCCCGTATTTTAAACTGGAGAGGTGGTGGGTGAATTGGTGCCATCAGTTCCTTACAGTACTTCTGTCCATGCAACTCCTAGCACTGCCGTTTTTTCATTAATCACTTTAAACCTCATTTAGAGAACAACATTAATTGTATCAATGCTTTAAAACAACTATAAAATTTCTTCTCTCTCTAAATAGAGACCTTCATGAATGCTAAACCAATCATTACAAAGCAAAATATTGAACTGCTATATATATATACTGTAGCTCTGTTCTACCTGTTCTGACCTACTCAAATGTTATTTGCTTAAAGTATTTTTAATACCAAAAATTGACAGTGATTTCCAAGTCACAACAGCCATAGTCACCAAAGGCTTCTAGAAATGAAAATGTTTTCAAGGAGATCCTCTTTAAACAACAATTATTTTATAAAGGGTTAAATATCATAAATATGTGACCTAACTCCAAACATCTGCATTCTAACTGCCACTATTTGTTTCTTCTCCAAGCCTCAACTCTTTTTAGAGAT